CCCCCCCCCCCCGAGGTCAACCACAGCCCTGACACCTGCTCCAAACTTTTGTTTCCTGGTCTGGTCTACCTGGTAAGGCTAATGGATTCTGATCTACACGCAACAACAGAGACCCCCATTCTCTGGATTTCCGATCATTTGGATCGGAGCTAGCTAACCAAAGAATAAATCCAGAAAGCCGTGGCAAGTGTTTTGGTTGCAAAACCCAATTTAATAACCAACGCTGAGGGCATACAAAATAACAAGAACAGATCACTTTGGCACTATAGAGTGAATCAAAAAGCAGATGTACAATATCCGTCACAGAAAAAAGATACGAAATACAATGGCAATTTCTCCCTGATCGGTCTACTTTATCCTCCTCCAAAATGAAAATAGTAATATTAACAGAACTCTACAAGACACTGGGGAGGGATGGAGGGGGGGGAGAGAGAGAGAGAGAGAGAGAGAAAGAGAGAATTAGAGTATCATAACATTTGAACTGAACAAGATATGCAACAAAATACGCCAGGCAGAGGATGTGATTTGCAAGTTTAAATCAACTCTTAAAATTACCTGTTAAGGTTATACCTTCAAATCTGGAAGTTAGTCCTCTGAATCAGCCCGTTTTGTACGGAGCCCCCATAAAAACCTGTCTAGTTCGGAGGATTACGTCCCAGAAAACAATTCTTAAAACGCGCCCGATCAGGAGATCTTGCACACGCTTAATAAACATACTTCTACGTCTTTGTATCTCAAATTTAATGCAGTCTTAATTCGTGAAGTCACATAGGGTGGAATAAGAATATCGTCCCGATGCGATTGAACGTTGAGTTTTTTAAAGAAATTTAATCTGTACTGGCACAGAAACTTCCCCCACCCCACCCACCCCCAAAAATACCTTTAATACAAAGGGTTAAAGCTGACAATCGTTAAGTTGATCTGTAAGATGCTGTTAATTCTCTTTTTGTTTCTATTGCAACAAATATGGCGAATGCTTCTTGGAACAGAGATGATAGGGGAGTCTCTTTGGGTAAAAAAATATACGCGGCGAACTGCTGGAATCAACAGTAGTTCGACCATCTTCATTTTCCCCTTATTTCTTGTAAATTTTACGAGTCTTCCCCTTTGTCAGCTTGTCTTAGAGCAGGGGGGGTCCCCAAACTTGGCAACTTTTAAGACTTGTGGACTTCGGCTCCCAGTGGGGTTCTGGGAGTTAAAATCCGCAAGTCTTAAAAGTTGCCGAGTTTGAAGACCTCTGTCCTAGAGTTGAACGCAGAAGCTGAAGACATGATCGTGTCAAACCGTACGGAGAACTTAAGCTACTTGTAATGAGGGATGGAGGAGGGTGGGGTTCTTAAAATTCTTAAGGGCACCCCTGTGCCATCCAGGATGCCAACTCCTGGCCTTCAGTACGATAGTAGAGGGATGAATGAACTTTGCAGATGTTAAGCTGGCCTCTCCCTTGCTAACTCAAACCCAGGTACGTCAAAACTCGTCTTTATCTATTGTGGGAGTGTTAAAACATAATTTTTACAAGAAACCTGATTTTTTTTTTCTTCCCCCTCCCACTCCCCTGGTATCCGGTAGTTTTAACAGCATTCTTACCCCCGAAACTGCTCCATTCCCAGTTTTACCACTGGAGGAAATTCATGTCCAAGCTTTTCTCTTCCTTCTTGGGTTCGTTTTTCAAGTGCTTTATGGGCCACTTAATTTTTATCATTGGTTCCATTTGTTCCTGGAGTCGATGGCGCTTCATGTGGGCGTTCCGACTTTTTATCTTGTCAAACACCCTGGAGGTAGACCAGAGGCAGGACTCTTCAGTTGCACAGTCCTCTCCCTCTCTTTCTCCCTCCTTCTCTCTCCCTCCGTCCCTCCTTCCCCCTCTCCCTTTCTATCTCCTTCTTTCTCCCTCCCTCCCTCCCTCCTTCCCCCTCTCCCTTTCTATCTCCTTCCTTCTACCTTCCTCCTGCCCTCTCTCCATCCTTCTCTCTCCCTTCCTCCCCTTTCCTATCTCTCCCTCCCTCCTTCCCTCTTTCTCCTTCCCTTTCTACCCTTCCTCCCTCTTTCCCTCCCTCCTACCTCTCACTTTCTCTCTCCGTCCTTATCTCTCCTTCCCTCCCCTTTCTACCCTTCCTCCCTCTTTCCCTCCCTTCCTCCTACCCTCTCCCTTTCTCTCTCTGTTCTTATCTCTCCTTCCTTCCTTCCCTCTTTCTCCTTCCCTCTCCCTTCCTCTTTCCCTACCTCTCCCTCCCTTCCTCCTACCATCTCCCTTTCTCTCTCCATCCTTCTCTCCCTCCCTCCTTCCCTCTTTCTTCTTCCCTCTCTCCCTTCCTCCCTCTCCCTCCCTTCCTCCTTCCCTCTCCCTTTCTCTCCTTCCCTATCTCTCTCCCTCCTTCCCTTTTCTCCCTTCCCCCCTCTTTCCCTCCCTTCCTCCTTCCCTCTCCCTTTCTCTCTCCTTCCCTATCTCTCTCCCTCTTTCCTTCCTCCCTCTTTCCCTCCCTCTCCCTCCCCCCCTCCCACACACAAACACAGAGAAGCAATTATTATCAGCCAGTGTAAGCAAACACTAGTAAACGGTGCCAGATACACAACACACGTAACACCACTTCTACACGAGCTGCATTGGTTACCGGTGTGTTTCGGGGTGCAATTCAAGGCGCTGGTGGTTACTTTTTAAAGCCTCGCATGGCTTTGGGACGGTGGTGCCTGAGGGGTCATCTTTGCCCAAGACCCTCTGCTCATCCAACTAGATCGAGAGGAAGGGCCATGCTGCAGATCCCGTCGGCCACAGAATGTCGGGGACAAGACGAAGGGTCCTCCCTGGAACATCCTCCCTTCAGAAATTGAGAGTGGCTCCAACCCTGTTAAGCCCCCCTTTTTTTAAGGTCCCAAAAACCTGGCTGCGTTCTGGAGTTTGAGATGCTGAACCTGCTAAGTTTCCCCGCTGTTTGGTTAACTGGCCAATTGTCTTGGCTGCTCTGTATATTTATTTTGGATATCTTTATTGCTTTAAAATGTTTTCAGCATTCCAAATGTAATGTTTTGTTTTTTTTAAATGATAAGCCGCCCAAAGTCATTGACAAAGATGGGAGGCTGTAGAATGAATGAATGAATGAATGAATGAATGAATGAATGAATGAATGAATGAATGAATGAATGAATGAATCATCCCTTGCAGGATGGAGTCTGGGCAACTGAATGGAGCTATTTACTGGCCCAATGCCCTTCCCTGTCGCCAATGCGGAGTTACATTCAACAGATATATTTTCAATGTGCCCAGAGAGAGAAATATCTGCCTCTACCTAGGAGCGAACCCACAGGCTCCTGATTGTGAGGAGAGAGCTCCACGTTTAGGCCACTGCACTACTGGAATGAATGAATGAATGAATGAATGAATGAATGAATGAATGAATG